TGTCCTTAGTCCCGGGTGCTGACCAGAGGCGAGTTTCGGGAGGGTGTTCATGAGGACATTCCTGGATGCGGTCTAGCGCCTCCTCTTCTGCATTAGCTCTGGCTACACACTACCCAGCAGGATATTCTGTCCGGTACCTAGTACCATGTCTGGCTTAAATTACCTAGAGAGGATTATGTTGCTTGGAGCTGAAAACCTCATCTGATAGACTTGAAAAAAGAATAATATACATTTATTATAATCCAATATTTACATTTTTTCTTGTACTTCCTTTCCTGATAGTAAGACTCTCTAAGGCCTGAAAATGATTTTGAATTATTTCCGGTACTCAGCTCTTCACTTTTTTACTACACTATCGGTGGAGGGATGGAGTGGGGGGCTGCAGGGTGGTGGAAGTATGCTCGTTCTATCAGAATCCTACGCAGTCAAATTATCTTCATTATTATTTTCAGACGCAAGAAAAATCTAACAACCCCCCTTTAATGTACTGTTATAAATATACTTTGCAATAAAATAATGAATTCTTTTTTTTTCATTTACTACCTCTCCTTTTCCCCAATTTAAAGGCAAACAATTGGTTTCTAATTTACTCAACAACAAACAAGTTTTACTTTTAATTTGGTGATCTGCTACTATCACCCAGACTAGTACATTTCAGTAAATGCAAATTATATAGATAATAGACTAAAATGGGCACTTAGAGCAATAGTTTTATGGGAAAATTGATAACCAGCTATCTTTAAAATATACTTTATTGGTAGAAAATTCAGAAGCACCCCAAGAGGAAAGTACTTTTAGGAATTACTAAAGTGCTGCTTGATTATCTTAAACAAAATAGTGCACAATCAGCAATCCCAGAAAACAGAATCTATTTACTTTTTTTCCCCCCAGGTTAGCTATCTAGAAAATGGGACCTCTCTTAATTTAAGCTTGTCACCGCCTAGCGATTTCACACATTAGGATTCATAGTAATGGAAAGCCTCAATTAAAGAGTAAAAACCCACAACAAAATAGTTGAGTAGGGGAAGTGAAAATTCACAATTCTTTCCATTTTCTACTCTCCATCAAGAGCATGCAAATTTAACCTGAACTTATCAAAAAAATGAGAAATGAATTTATGTTATGCTACAATGACCTTTTATTTCTCAATGAAAATTAAACTTTAAGAATGTCAGAAATTTATTTTAGTGTTTATAGGACTTCAAAAACTAACCCTGCTAACCCTGAAAGAAAATATAATTCTTACACCTAAGGCAATTAGTTTCATTAAAGCAAATATGACCAGCCACCTACATCTTGGTAAAAATTTCTCAAGAACTGAATCAAATAGATCACTTCTATAACTGTTAAAGGAAGATGTTGCTATTAGTCCCCTACTTTCCACTCATATCCCCTTACACTAAATATGGCAAATAAGCTGTCATTAGAAAGGAAACCATCTCCACAAGTGTCCATGCTGCATTTTTCATAATAGCTAGAAAATAGAAACAACCCAAATGTCCACCAAATGACAAATGATAAGCAAAATGCAGTAGATCCATACAATAGATTATACGGCAATAAAAAAATTGGAAGTCCTGATACATGTTATGAACAAGAATGAACCCTGAAAATAGTATGCTGAGTGGATGAAGCCGGTCACAAAGGACCAGAAATTGTACGATTTTATTTATATCATATGTCCAGAATAAGAAAATCTATAGAGACAGAAAATACAAGTAGATTAATGGTTGCCTAGAGCTGGGGGAATAAGGGTATTATACAGGCTGAGGGATTAGGAGAGTCTTTAAGGGGCATTATGAAAATGTTCTCAAATAGTGATATGACTTGCACAACTCTGAGAATACACATAAAAACACTGACCTATACACTTCAAAGTGGATAAACTATATAATGTTAACTTCATCTGAATAAAGCTATTAAAAATCATTTCAAAACTATATCAAGTCTTTACAGATATATTTAATTTCTTCAAATCTTAACGTTTTCTATAAAATAACCTTAATTTCAAATTTTAATTGATAATTCTCTTTCAGAGAATTTTATATACATAATTAGTAGCTAAATATAGCTATATCCTAACTATAGAAATCTTTTCTCCGTATCAGCATCTTCAGTAAAATTAGAGTAACTACCCATAACAAAAATGACTAAATTTACCAAAGAATTTTTCAATTCATGTAGTTTTCCTTTAAGCTCATAAGATAATTAAAATTTTTAAAGATCAGATAGATTTACCTTAATGTTCAGTAGCCAAAACATATTATATGCCAAACAACCAAGAATTATAAGGTTGCAACAGTCAAAACTTTCTAGTTAATGAGCAAATGTCATTTACGGAGACAAAACTTGGCTACATTCTTAACAAGCTGTTCCTTATCCCTCCCTCACAGCTTTAAAATGTCAAGTGATGTAAGATTGTTATAAACGAAGTTGGGACCCCAGTTTTACAAATTTTTTTTAACTTTTTCCTCTGAAATAATTGTACTATATTTATAGGAAGTTACAAAAAAAAAAAAACCAACAAAAACGGACAGGTAGACTCCTGAGGACACCTGACACAGTTCCACCCTGTGGTACCATATGGCATAATCATAGCTCAACACCGAAACCAGGAAATTGAAATTGGTATACTCCACAGAGCTTGCTCAGATTATACCAGCTTCAATCTCATGTGCATGTGCAGTTCTATGCAATTTTATCACGTTTGATTTGTATAACCATCACCAAACTCAAACACCAGAACTCTTTAAACCGCACAAGACACCCTCCTGCTACTTATGGCTAAAATCAACACCTTTCCAGACACCATCCCAAAGTACTAAACTGTTCTCCATCTCTATAATTTTTACTTGAATATAATTACTTGAAGAACAGTATATAAATGGGATCTTACAGTGTGTAACCTTCTAGAATTGACATTTTTCAATCAGGTTAATTCTCTGGAGATCCATACAATTTGCTATATGTATCGATGATTCATTCCATTTTGCTGCTGCATAGTATTTTGTGCTGCGGATGTATAACAGTTTATCCATTCACCTGTTGAAGGACATCTACGTTGTTTCTAGTTTGAAACTGCGGCAAATAAAGCTGCTGTAAAAATCTGGTTTTGTGTGAACATAAATTTTCATTACTCTGGGATAAAAGGTCAAGAGTATAATTGATGGGTAGTATAGTTAAATACAAATTTTACTAACAATACTGGTAATGTTCCTGAAAAAAACAAAGATCACTTAAAATCTCCACTGAACCAAGCACTGCCTTAGAATTTTAAACACATTATCCTATGTAATCCTTGCAACAACAATGAGTAGGTATTGATATTATCTCCATCTTACAACGGAGAAAACCAAGCTATAGAAGAGGTTTGGGACGTGATCCAGAGTAACACAGCTACGATGTGAACAGCTGGGACTTACATTCAAGTCCACCTGACTGAGAAGTCTACTCCTTTCAGCACAAGACACTACACCTTCCACTCCTATAACATGTATGTGGTTAGATACAAAAAGTATATATTAACATAAAAAAGTCTCTATTTAGGGGATGAAGTTCATAAATGAGGTTTTAAAAAGTAAACATGATTTCTAATATGATGCATAAATAACCAAAATTAATCTAGTAATCTACCGGTATTGATACAAATATTGTACATGTAAAAAGTAACATGAGTACTGCAGGAAAATTCACATAATTCAGCTTTCCTCTACCAAGTTTCTTTACGGTTTAGTCTTAATTAACTAGCCTTGTGGTGAATAGGAAACCTGGGGACAGATGAAAAAGGAGAAGGGGTGTATGAACTAAAAGGTATATGTATGAATTTTGTATGTAATGACGTATGAAGCCCCTCGCACACCAAGCAAGTGCAAGAGCAGGCTCTGTGTCCGCTGTGGACGACGCATCCCCGACCCCACTCCCAGACCCTCGGCCACGCCGGGCTGAGGAAGGACGGTCTGGCTCTTTGCAGAGCCTCCAGGACCTAGCCCCACGCTACGGGACCACATACGCAGATCGTCACGCCTGCCTACTGCCCAGAGAAGCAAATCACAACAACTCAAAGGCTGTCATCAGAAATATCACAACAAATTTATTTAACAGTCCCTAACATTTTCTGATTTTTTTCGTCAGAAAAATTTTTATCAATATTTCCTTAAATGTACTCAGATTTGATTAGGAATGATTTTAACTATAATTAAAGGCATAAAACCTCGCATCTCTTTTTTTTTTCTTCTTAAGGAGAAATTAAATGAATATTAGTTATGCAGCTTGGATACCATAGTGTTAAAGTCTAAACATGACCGTTAGGGAGCATTGCAGTATTTGTGAAAATCCCTGTAAGTATCCATTGGGTCTCATTATTACTCATGTAAACTCTCACCTTTCCAGGTATAAAAACTAATACAATGTGAAGCCATAATTCACTTAATTGACAAAATTTCTTCAAAATTGTAATAATCAACTAATGAGAATTACATAATTTAATAATATGTAAATAAACAATTAATGGGACTATGATTATCTTATTTAAAGAGAAGTCTAATCAGTCAACTTCTAGGAAAGTAACTATGGAAATAATCATAGGTATACACCAAGTTCCATCTATAAGGTTATGACATAGTATAAATTAGAATTCTACACATCTATTGAATAATAATGTACGTCAACTATAATTATATGTACATATAGTCACGGGATGTGGAGTAGAGAGTGGGAGTGGAGTCAATGGAATTGTAATAGATAAGCAGGATATCAGGGGGAGCAGTAGATGGGGGAAGGAGGTTGTTACTGTGTGAAGGGTGAAAAGGATAACTATTGCTTTGTTCTGTACCCCTGAAACTAACAATAAAAAAACAAAAAATTAAAAAAAAAGAATTCTACACATCTATTAAAAATGCCATAAAATGCTAAATGGCATGCAGGGTTTCATACTATAGGGTTAAATATACACCTGTCAGAAAACTGTTACAAAACAATAGTAAGATACGCGTGAAACATACTTGCAGTTGAACTGAATTGTGCCGAAGGCCTTCCACAATAGCTGTAAATCTGTCAATTTTTCTTTCTTCTCCAGCTGACGTTAAAGCTTCTAAAACTTCTTCCAGGCTATTGGAAAATTTGAAATTATTAATGAAATTGCAAACAGCAAAAAGCCCAAATGCCAAAATACAATGGCCTGATCTACTGAACTCTGGAATCACTACTCCAAGGCAACCAGTAACATCTTAAAAGTAACTTACTGAGTAAACAGCATGCATCAAGCACTGTTCTAAGCATGTTACACGTTTTGATTTATTTATTCCTAAAAATTACCCTATAATGACGTTTATTTATCAAGTATTTATACAGTGCTCAGCACTCCTCAGGGACTGATTGAACCAGTTTACAAACAGTAACTCATTCTAATGTACATAACTCTAAGAAGTTGGTATTAATATTATCCCATATTAAAATTAGGCAACTGAGGTAGAAAAAGGTTAAGCAACTTCTCCAAGGTCTCACATCTATTAAATGGTAGATCACAGATCTAAAACCAGAGTATGTGTAGTGGTGTTACACAAATGCTCTTACCCACTACACTTGACTTCCGCTAGAATATAAGCGAAGTTCTGGTAGCCAAAAATATGTGGTACTAAGATGTTTTAGTCAGATAAAAAAAATAATAGTCACATAAGAACTATACTTGCTCCACCTTAAAAAAAAAAAAAACTTGTGTTAACAGGACCTCGCATGCTATAGAAGCTCACACACTTTGTGGACATGGACATGTAGTCCTAAAAGTTATTTCCTTCATTTTGAGAACATTCTTAAATCAAGAAATAATAAAAATAATATGGAAGTATGGGAAGAGGAAGTTGAAGAGGAGAAAAAAAGCAAAAGAGGATAAAGAAAGAGAGTGGAAAGGAGAGGAAAGGGAAAGAGAAAAAAGGAAGTAGGGGAGGAGGGGAGAGAAGGAGCAGGGAAGGAGAGCGAGGAGGAGGAGAGAAAGAAAGGGAGAGGGAAGCACAGGAAGTATCTTCTGTGTCCACATTAAACGCACTCTCAGGTTTCTGAACCCTCATTAATCTGCCCTTAACATGGAAAGTGCTGGAGCCGGACGCCTGGCTTTGCATGTTGGGATTATAGAGGGTACAGCATCATCCACAGACAGACACTCAGGTGTATATGGGGACAGGGCCAGGCCTGAGTGGCGCCTGTTGACCCCCACCGAGGTCCAAATGGAGCAGCTCCACAGTCCTGGCTCCAGTGGGATCACCACCAGGACAATTTTCAAATGGGCGCAGCAGGTCCCACTGACACGGCCCTGCCGACCCTTGTATGAGAGGGTGATTCCTGTTTGTTCTTCTGGTTGTTGAGTTTTATATCTTTATACTTTTAAAAAAGAACATTTTTAAATAAGTTTTAAATGCTATTTTATAATAAGAACCCCTAATCTTCTTTAAAAGAAAAAAGGCTTATCTTTATAAATATATTTTAATATGTATATAATAGTCTTTTAGTTACATCCCTAACAAATGTGAATAATGCTTTCCAGGTTTAAAGCTTTAGTATATATTTTATGGTCAAGAACTATGCATCCTCAAGCAGTAAAGTGCTAGTCCATATGTCACTTTCGGAACCTCCCTTATCGATTTTCAAATAGTACGAATTTGCGTTTACGAGGGACTATCCATGACCTACAGTTTCAATTAATTCTACCTGGAAAAAAAAAATCACATAAGAAACAGAACCCATTTGTATTATGTTTCAAGGTCTTCACTTAGGATTTTTACTTAGGGTCTGAGTTCAGAACAGTTCAAAATAAATGACGAAGAAGTCGGTTTCTCACAGAAACATATTAGCCCATCACTACTAAATCGATTGAGAGTACTAAGCATTACTTAAACATTTCTGTGCAGCCAGTATGAATCTAAATCAGTTGCTGAAGTATACTTTATTTCCTTATATTCTAGTCTCAAATAGAATAGATAATGAAAACATTAAATGAATCACAGTGGATGAAATCATTACATAATTAGAGAAGTAAGTTGAGAAGACTCACATGCTTTCCTCCCCTACAATGCACACTGCAGAGAGGAGTTTAACCGCATCTGTCATCATGCTGGGGTGCGCAGAGTCCATGGCTTTGGCTAATAGAGAAAGACTCCTCTCTTCACTCATAATTCTTTCCAAGCCATACTACAACGTGTTGGAAAGAAGAGATTAAATGGTAAGTTACTTTAAAATAAAAAAATTTTTAAAAAGTGTCCTGAAAGAAATGTAATTATTAAAAAGTGTTTATAGGATAATATAGTTTTATACCTAGAAAAGCTGAAACGTATAAAGAATGTGTAACATCCTTAAAAAAATTCATAGACGTATATATACACTTTATATCAAGAACTGTGAGAACCAACCAAATGCAGATAACCCCTCAAAGGTGATTTTACTACAATATTGACTAGTAATTATTAATACAGATAAGTGGCCAAGTGGAGAGAGAGAAGTATTGAGAAATATTGAGATTTCCCAACAGAAACACCCAAACTGAACAGTCAGACAGTGAAACCGACCCTGAGGCCAAGAGGCTCTTCTTCAGGAAGGAGAGTTGGTAAGAGATACACCACAAGTAAGGGCACACATCCACACTGGTCCAGAGAAATGTATTGTGAACCACATGTGCAATGTGAAATTTTTAAGCAAAACTAATTTTAAAACAGTTATTCACACATATCCAAAATATTACCATTTCAACATATAATCAAAAGAAAACATTATCGATGAGATATTTTACTTTTCTTCTTCCTAAGTATTCAAAATCCAGTGTGTATTTTACACTTACAGCCCCTCTCCATTCAGACTAGCCACATACATAAGCAACCACAGTATATATACAGCGTAGACCCAGGCAGTAACACTCAGCTCATCAATGGGCAAAGCTGAAGAATGATTTAGGCACACACCACATAGAAACTGTCATAAGGAGAGTTCACAGAGTGTGCCAAAAAAATGTATGCACATTTTTTTACGACAGGAAAACTATTAAAATTGTAACACTCAATATATACCAATAACAAAAGATGAATACAAGTCACGTTTGACATCTGCAATTACACTAGGTGCTGAAAGTGGTTACCATCAGTGTCCAGACACTTCTGATTACGGCGAACTACTGCTGGAGCAACGATGACTAAAGTGTCCACTTGTATACATTTTTTTGGCACCCCCGGAATACTCTCATTGGAATGATATTTTATCATCAGAAAGACAATGCAGTTGTAAACACATTATAAAAATGGGATGATAAGGGATAAGGACAAAGTTTGTTTACTACTGCCGGGATGTCACATCCAATTAGAAGATAAGTATGGGGTTGTCAGAAAAGTCATGACATCTGTTTTCTATGTTTTTCGTTGCAAAAATGCGTCATGACTTTTCCGACAACCCAATAGTTATATGAATGACTTAGTGCTTTGATTTAAGGATGTACACATCTATTAGGGCCCGCTTACAAGCTATGGAAGACAAGCAACAGATAACAGAGAATGAAGAGAAGCAAGAAAACACTACTATTTATCTACCATGCATCCCAGATCCTTTTAAAGAGAAATTGGTTATCACTGTTACTACTGGGCAATGAAGAGGGCCTAATCCCAATTACAGACCTATGAACTATGGCCTCCACTCAAAATTAGCACTAGCTATAAGCCTCAAAGTTGAATCTATAACAGGCATAGACCCAAATGTGTTTAATGCTAGGAAATTTTATTTATAACTTTCTACTGTAAATGGCATTAATGTAACGAAGGCTTCACACTGTGCTGAAATACTGCATTTGCTTTAGACCACTGTCCAGAACACAGGTACAAAGGACAGGGACAAGCAGGAGGGTCACGGGTCCATGTATGATCTGGGGAAGGGCTTCTCTGTCTTACTGGTGACAGGGAAAAGTTTACAGAGACAGCGCAACTGACCAGGAAATGTTTGCTTTTGTGACAGCCTGGCATGTTTCATACCTGCAAATAAAGAATGGAAAAGCAGGCATGGGGCCAAAGACTGCAATACGCCTAGATAATCGTTCCAGGGAATTGTCAGAGGCTTATAAAGCACCACTTAGATCCGAGTGAAAAAGTCAGTTGGTCAGGGATTATCAAGTACCAGAGGACTGGCTCTGTCCTAATAAACCTGAGGACGAGAACAGCTTGCCTCCAGCATAGCCTCCCCCCCCCTTTCCCCACCCGCCTGGCTATCCTGAGCCAGTGCCTGCCCTTCTGCATTCAGAATCCTGTCTCTCCTCCAGCCCCTCAGGGCAACTCACACCAATTTCCTCTGATGTCCTCCGAGTGACACGACCTACCTTCTCTGTCAAGCCCTCCAGCCCTAAACCATCACATGTGAAGGGTGAATAGCAGCATTCTCTGATCTCGTGGTTCTAACCATTATCCTGTGACCCCCGCCACCACCACCACCCCCCAAACCTCCATCATAGGCAGTGTTCTCTGATTTTGCTAATGTAAAAATTTGTAGTGCTCATTTTAAGTCTGGAATGAGGCCAGATTGCCACTATTCAGCTTCTAGAACTAAAGACAGAATTGCTGCCTGCTTGTGTAAAATTGCTCTCATTCAATAATTTAAACCACAAAACAAAACAAAGCAAAACAAAAACCGCTGACTCGGTGAGCTAAATAGTCAACCTACCAGTGCTGGCATGGAAAGTGCGTGAAATGAAGGCTACGTATAAGGTTAGAGAGGTGGTGACAAAATTGGGAAGGTCTCAGGACGTCTCTCTACTGAATGTCAAAGACCCACTCTGGGCTATCGGAAAACTCCTGTGTTCTAAAATGAGGACCGATGCAGGTTCCGTTTGCATTCTATGCGAGGCCTATTGTTACCTAATAGACGGAATTTCAGGCCACTGAAGACGCATTAGGTAGGAAATGTTGATATCTTAAATCCTGGCATAGGATGCCCAACACGACACGAATACTGGTGCTGAACGACTTCCCCAGTGACTTAATCCCAGTAGCAGAGAGGATGTGGGGAAGGGGCTGACTTCAGGATCAAAGTACGCTCGCTGGGGGTGTACACCTCCAAACTACCCACAAAAAGTTCACTGACCAAAATGAAACCCCTCTTCCAATCACTTTTGAATTTAAATCAACTTTTCATCCTGACTTTTATTTTCTTCCTAAGAAATATTCACAATATTCTGCCATTTAAAAAATATTAGTCTAACTTAGATGGTAACATATTTGCTCATTAATTATATAAATAACTTCTACTACAAAATAAGGGACCGCACTTTTAAAGTCTGTACTGTTCATCATTCAATGAACTCTTGTAAAGACTACACAGTGAGAAATAGGAAAAACCATCAGCCAGTGTTGGGCGAGGTGGGGGTGTAATTTTTACTAAAAATTTCAGGCAGTATAATACCAATTCCATGTATGAATAACAATTTTTCATTCTTGTCAGCACAGGTGATGACAATAAATGCAAATAACAGTATATTTCAGCTTCACATATACAAACTACAAGTGACACAATGTTATTATCAGAGAATAAGTTACATTAATTAGACTATAAACACAAAAGTTTACTCCCTCTCCAATTCAGGCTCCAACCAAGTAGGAATAGTATCTTCCATACACCGTCATACTTTATCCATGATATTCTTCCCAAATTCAAATTATGATTCACATGCACCCATGGTTTGAAAAAATGTTCCTGTGTTTTCTCTACTCTCACTTTCTATCCTTATGGAAAGACCTCTCCCTATGAGAAATTTCTTATTCCTTTATTCGGTTATTCTTAGAATATATTCTATAAAAAAGCTACTTAATATCTAAAGCCTAGTTCTCATAGAACAATAGAAGGACTCGTGACGTCTCCATCAGATGTTTTCCCTGAAAATCTTATCTAATTGAAGGGGGAAAGGGAAGAGAAAAATAGTTCATTGGTTAAAAATAGAAAAGTCAGCTCCAGAAAATGCTGAAAAACACATAAATAATTCATTTAGACAAAATAATTAGAAAACTGTATTTGCTACATTTATATATATATATATATATATATATATATATATATATAAAATGTTAATAATTTAAGTACCGGTACTTAAGTGTGTAGTCCTCTAAAGATTTATTCTAAAAGTGAGAATAAGGCAAAATATTAAAAATAAAATTAATCAGAAATGTAGAGAGTGTTGCTATGAAACACAAATCATCACCCCACCAAAGGTATTTTAGTTGCTGCTACACAGCATGAGAGGAAATGTTGCCTATCATTACTCACACATCATGAGGCAGATGTGTTTGGATGTTGCAGCTAAAGACATGGCATGGCATAGAGTAATTTCTGCAATTAACAATACAAAAGAAACACTTTCAGATAAACCTAACTTCGGTAAAGGGCTTAAAGTGTTTCTCTCTTCTAAGGCATCCTCTTTAACACGCAAACTCTGCAGAGTTGCCATATTACATTTGGTCTCAGCAGTACTGGTATTAGGCATCACTGCTCCATTTCTGGAACCTGTTCCATCTGTTTCCACTCATTTCATTATAGATGTAAATTCCTAGGCTATAAAAAATAAGTCTTCCCAACTTCATTCTTTGGTAATAAATATTACTGCAGCCCACACTTAATAATCACGTGTAATTTCAAATCTGATTCATGCTATGGTTTTGAAAACTAAGACAGAGGGAGGGAGGAAGGAAGAGGGGAGAACAAAAAGGAGGGTAGGAAGGGAGGGAGAGGAACAGCGAGAGGGGGAGGTAAGGAGGGAGAGAGGATTAATCTACCCATGAGGAGTTAAGCACCAGAAGAAGACCCGCTCATCTCCACGTTTCTCTGCTGGGACAGCTGTTCTCATTCAAAACTGGAAATCAATAGAGTTCAGTCTTTTTTCCATTATATACTAAACAGCATATCAAAGCAGTGTATCACTTTAGTGCAAATTCTTTATAACACTACTCTAATTCTTAAAAATTCTATAGAAACTGGGGAAGAAAAACTACAATACGGTCACCAATGCACATACCTGTGTATTCATCAAAGCCTTTAGACACTGGATGACTTTGTGCTGATTCTTCTTTACAACTTTTTCTTGTCTGCGTTGGCACAAAACACATCAGTGTTAGAATTATAATAGGACATGCAAATGTCACTTAACTGAAAATAATTAGCAATACTTACACTTTGCTACTAATCAGTCTTTCCAAAATGTCTAGTAATAATCCGAGCCCCTCATGTCCAAAGCTTTGCACCCAACTGAAAGTCAAGAAAAAAGGTAGTTATGCGTTAAGTCAGTTTTCTAAGTTTGGAAATTCACAATAATACTATCATGACTATCTGACAATTGTTGCACTGTAATCCCAAACACAAAATAACACCATGTGCAAAACCATTCATGATTCAGCCTTAGTCGTGACAGAAGGAGCACAGATGGGAAAGCCAGTGGCATGCTGAACCCAGCTTGCACTTGGCGTGTGTGAGCTGAGTGTGCACACCTCTTCCATGGCTCCATGTCCAGTGACTTCATGTTAGCACCTAGAAGTCTGACATGTTGGAAGTATTTACGCTATAAAATTCAGCGAAGGCTGCCAATCAGAGCAACGCCCCCAGCCCAGAGAGCCGCCTGTTACACGTTTCCCAGCACAGAAGCTGAGCGAGCCTCCCTTTGGACTGTTGTTGCAAGAGCGGGACATTGGGCATGTGAGAAAGATTCAAAGGGGAAGAATCAGATCTACATTAAGAAAAAGAATAATGAAAAAATTAATCAAAATATTGAAAAGGGATGTTTTCAGAGAATTTCCTAAACTTCTACAATGCACACTTATAAATAGTAAGAATTTCCTAAGTTTCAAAATTCAATTATTTTTTTTAAATCGTCATTATTTTTAAATGAGTATTTTCATCTTAACCACACAGCCTCTATTCCATAAATCCATAAATATAATTACAGTTCTGTGTGTAATTAGGACATTTCTGCCAATAGACAAAAGCTCACCCTGATTATAGAACAACTTCATAGAATTTACTATGTTTTTTCAGTGGTGATGTGGAAAGCCTAAGTCAGTA